ACCAACAGCCAATCTGATGCTTCAGATCTTTGAAAGTCCTTGAAACAAGAAAAGGATGCATATAACAGAAGACAAGTATCTCAGGGTACCAGAAAACCACAACTGTTGGGTTTGAAAAGCTCAGTACCCGCCAGCCTGTGAGTATTCAAAGGCCTTCTTGAAGGGGATCAAAAGAAACAATCTGTGCAAGTTTTACCGAGTCCCTAGGCCAGTTCACAGCTGACCAACCTGTAAGCACTGCAGCTGCATTATAACATGCAGAAATAAGCACAAGCCAAGTTTGAACAGGATGGGAGGATCTCAGTGAATACCCTGAGAATGAAACATTATGTTAATGCCATCATCTGGATTCTACACAGAAATGGAGGTAATGTGTTATGTTTATCACATACTTAGTCTTAACTAAAATACAGTAATCCCATTGAATTAGTTGCTAGAATGTTGAGTCAGCACTCCTATTAGTTAGGAGTGAACAGGGGAGAGTTGCCTTCCTATTAATTCAATGGGCCTCCTGTAGCTGAGAGTCTGCCAAATGGTGTAGAAATGACACTGCCATCAAATGCTCTTGTATCTACATTCATTGCCTTCTAGTAAAGCCAGTTCATTTGCCTTGGACCAAAAGAGCACATCTGGTGATATAGCCCTATAAAATGACATTTCTCTGCTAGCAACTGAGGATTTTAAAGGTCTACGCTCCAGCTAAAGGGAAATGAGGGTAAGGAAGGGCCTCCATCTAGCACAGCCGGGTGATCTCTGTACCTTCATGAGGAAGAAGAGAAGAATGATGACAAACACACTGACTTTGGGGTGGATCCAAACAGCAGACTTTCCCAGGATCTGGGGGTCTTCTGTATGCTTTACCCAAGTGTAGTTATCAAAGAGGCTGCTGATGGCTTCCCTCGGCATCAACTGCAAGGGGAGAAAGCAAAGAGGTATGAGTTTCTCATTGCAAACAAACAAACGTTTTGTTTGGAGGGAAAGGAAAGGACCCTCAGCCTCAAAGTAAAGCAAACCCAACAATAACGGCAACAGTTGTGACCTGTGCCAATGGCAGCACCACAATGGCTGTTTCAGTTTCTAGTTTTACTGTATTCTTTTAGGTTTGGAACTGATCTATTTTTGGGTCAGGCAGTCCCCAGGAATCTGACACCAGGAAGATATGTTGGAAATAATATGTAAACATAGAAACAAACAGCAGCGTTCTCACCTCTCCAGCCATAAACTGTCCAAACCCTGGGGGAAATGTCAGAGATGCTATCAGAAAGGTTATTACCCCTGGATAGACAAGGCGACTGGAATAGAAAAGAACACAAGTTAAGTGGACAGCCATGTCATGGCATGTCAAACTTTAAAAGGAAATTGAAGTGGGGGATACTAAAGAGAGGAGAAGGACGCCACCAGGGAGGAACTCTCTCAAGAAACACAAATGCTTGAGATGGATGTATTTTCTCCCTGAGTCACTTGAGTTAGTGGGATACTTCAGCAAGGTGGGGTGAGAAAAGTGGAGGGCAAAGTGTTGTATTTTGTGTATGCTGTAGACTGGGGTGCTTTGAAACCTCTGTGTGTGATAAATGCAAAATTACTGAGCAGACAGGCAAAATTAATTAATTAACGTCTGGGAGTATGTATGCGTGTATATAAAGCTATAGCTATAGCTATAGAAATAGATATAGATACAGTATAGATATAGATTCATATTATAGGGGATTGGAATGCTAAAGTAGGGAGTCAAGAGATAAAAAGAACAACAGGTAAGTTTGGCCTTGGAGTTCAAAATGAAGCAGGGCAAAGGCTAATAGAGTTTTGTCAAGAGAACAAGCTGGTCGTCACAGATACTCTTTTCCAGCAACACAAGAGGCAACTCTACACATGGACATCAGCAGATGGGCAATACCGAAATCAGATTGATTACGTTCTCTTTAGCCAAAGATGGAGAAGCTCTATACAGTCAGCAAAAACAAGACCTGGAGCTGATTGTGGCTCTGATCATCAGCTTCTTATACCAAAACTCAAGCTTAAACTGAAGAAAGTAGGAAAAACCACTGGGCTAGTCAGGTACAATCAAAACCAAATCCCTTATGAATACACAGTGGAAGTGAAGAACAGATTTAAGTAACTAGATTTGGTGGACAGAGTGCCTGAAGAACTATGGATGGAGGCTTGTAACATTGTACTGAAGGTAGCAACAAAAACCATCCCAAAGAAAAGGAAATGCAAGAAAGCAAAGTGGCTGTCCAACAAGGCCTTACAAATAGCAGAGAAGAGAAGGGAAACAAAATGCAAGGGAGATAGGGAAAGTTACAGAAAATTGAATGCAGACTTCCAAAGAATAGCAAGGAGAGACAAGAGGGCCTTCTTAAATGAACAATGCAAAGATATAGAGGAAAATAATAGAAGGAAAAACCAGAGATCTGTTCAAGAAAATTGGAGATATTAAAGGAACATTTTGTGCAAAGATGGACATGATAAAGGACATAAATGGCAGGGACCTCACAGAAGCAGAAGACATCAAGAAGAGGTGGCAAGAATACACAGAGGAATTATATCAGAAAGATCTGGATGTCCTGGACAACCCAGATAGTGTAGTTGCTGACCTTGAGCTAGACATCCTGGAGAGTAAAGTCAAGTGGGCCTTAGAAAGCCTGGCTAACAACAAGGCCAGTGGAGGTGATGACATTCCAGTGGAGCTATTTAAAATCTTAAAAGATGACATTGTTAAGGTGCTACACTCAGTATGCCAGCAACTTTGGAAAATTCAGCAGTGACCAGAGGATTGGAAAAGATCAGTCTACATCCCAATCCCAAAGAAGGGCAGTGCCAAAAAATGCTCCAACTACAATACAATTGCACTCGTATCACACACTAACAAGCTTATGCTCAAAATCCTACAAGGTAGGTTTCAGCAGTATGTGCACCGAGAACACCCAGAAGTACAAACTGGATTTCGAAGGGGCAGAGGAACTAGAAAGTAAAACTGCATAAAACAGCCAGCAAAAGAGATTCTTCTCATTTAAGAAAACAGTTAAGAACTTCGGGATGATGACTGATGCATAACAGATGTCCAAGAAAGACAAATTGCTGAGGAAAAAGTACATTGTAGTGTGGAGTTGAGGACTGCATCTGATCAAACACAATCACACCCAGATTCCCCAATAATGTCAAGCCATAAGCAGCAAGGAACAGTACAAAGAGGGTAATCTGCAGGTGTGGAAGATCTGTCGATCCAGTGAGGAAGAATTCAGTCACCAATGTGTTGTTTCCCATTGTAATCATCACAACAAATGCTGGAATGATAAATGCTGGATTCCATCTTAATTGCTTACTAGCCTGGGATGGGACTTGGAGGCACTGTTTTACAGTGGCTCCGGTCTTTCCTGGAGGGGGAAACCCAATAGGTGGAGCTGTGGGACTCCTGTTTGACACCCTAGCCTTTGGCCTCTGGTGTCCCTCAAGGACTTTTTTCTATCCCCTATGCTATATTTAACATTTACATGAAACCACTGGGAGAGGCTGTCAGGAGTTTGGGGTTCAGTGTCACCAGTACACTGGTGACCCCCAACTCTATCTTTCCTTTCCATCTAAATCCAAGGAAGGTGTCTCGGTTCTAAATCAGTGTCTGGTGTCAGTAATGGGCTGGATGAGGGCGAATAAACTGAAACTTGATCCAGGCAAGACAGAGGTGCTTCTGGTCAGTCGAAAGGCAGATCAAGGGATAGGAATGCAGTCAGTACTGGATGGGATTACCTTCCCACAGAAGAAACAGGTGAACAGCTTGGGTGTTTCTAGATTCATCTCTTAGCCTGGATGCCCACATCTCAGGGGTGGCCAGGAGTGCATTTGCATTAGACATTGTCATCGAAGCTACCAACATGAATTTGACCCAATTCCGGGAGGCAGTGGAAGACAGGAGGGCCTGGCGTGCTCTGGTCCATGAGGTCACGAAGAGTCGGACATGACTTAATGATGAAACAACAACAAAAATAGATTCACAAATATGCTTACTTGCACTCTCTCCTATTTTGTTTCACACTGTTTTTATGGATTGGACGCCGCAGAAGAAAAAATTCGGCTTGCGTAAAATGCATCTTGTCCTTTCCATTTTAAATAATACATTATTTATGAGTTCCTTTCAGGTGAGTAGGACCTCTTGCCAGCAATGGAAAATGCTGAGGAGGGAAGATGTGTTTGTGTGGTGGGGTGGTATCAGACATACTAAAAGGCATCATTTATCCCTTTCGCTTACACTGATCCTGTGCCTAAACGCATATAGCCGCAGTGGAACGGAAGCCATCTGTGCTTTTAAAAATCATAGCATGTGCTGTTACTACCATTAATATTCTCTTAGCGTGGAGAGAATAAAAAATTAATTCCTTAGATGATGTGGACTAGCGAAGAAAGACACATCAAAGTTGTTTTTAATCAATAGTAGGTAGGTATGAGACTGGTCCTCAGTATTGCTGTGATTGATTGGAGGATCTCGTGGCTAGCCAGCTGCCTCTGGGAAACTCATTAGCACCGGATACGATGGTCATGGATGATCTTTTCCTATTTAACTGCAGGATCAGAATTATCTGCCTCTGAACAATTATCCTATCCTCTGTGAATCTACCGAGACCATTTCTTAAAAACAACCACCTCTAAACAGTTGGCCAGGGATGACCATATCTTAAGGCTATGGCGTTATTTAGAATCACAATGCTAGCCTGTTCAGCCTATTTATTGTGTCCTCTGACTGTCCGAGAGTCTCCCACACTTCAGGTCAAAGTTTCTTCCCAGACCTGTGGCTCAGATGGAGATGCTGTGTCTGAAACTCAGACTTTTGGCATGCAAAATATGTTCTAACGCTATGCAATGTCTCCACAATTCCATTATAACTTATGTGTATGTATTCATTACTGGATGAGTGGAGAAAAAGTAGTTACTTACAGATATAAATGAGCTATTGGTGTTCAATTGAAACAGAAAAACTTTTCACTGTATTTCAGACCCAGTGTTCTTCAACTGAACCACCATCAGAGGTTAATGGTCCCCATTTAGCTACTGTTAGTTATGCTTAAGTGTCATTAAAACCAGTTAAGCACATTAGTCACAACAACCTCCTCTTCACAAATAAAAAAATCAATACCAATTACTTTTCATTTTGTATGTTCAGTGAAACACTGAACTTTCTTTGTATTCAAGGGTAAAGGAGTCAGGAAATCCATGCATGGGATTCTGTGCATTGTTTTCAAAGTGGTAGTAACAGCAACATTTTGCATGATGAGTTGGAGAGGTTTTAGATTATTAATGCTGTGCTGCAGCATCGTTTTCGCTTTGCACGAGGGCTGCTTTGAACCAAACAAAATCACACTGCTGTGGTACAAAAGGCCATATCCTGGAGGAATCCCTTGTCCGATTCTATCCAAAGAACAATTCTGTCGTTTCTGATGCCTGTCTTTTCTCTGTTTGTTTCTTGAGCCTAGAGGACTTGGACCGCCTCTCTAGCGCCACTTTTACAATTTTTCCTATAGAACAAGGGATATTTCCATTGACAATCTCTCTTAAATTTATTCTGAAAGTAAACTGAATGTCGCAAAAGCCTTCTTATTTATTATTTCCATCAAGAATATTTCTTGTGCCATATTTATGCCACTTAAGACAATCTGAATTAGAATAAAAATCTTCTTTCCAGCATGAGTATTCTACTCTGGGGGCTGCTATGAAGGCATGCTGGTTCCAAACCAACTCCATAAATCCGCAAGAATGCCACTGAGGAACACTGCAGAGTAGGGTCAATGGTACATTCCAACTGTTGACAAGCTTGGATTCCAAATGAGCAGAGCTTTGTAAATACTCACTATTTAGTTAGGAACTGACTGAGGGCAGTGTGTCGACGGACACACAAAACAACTTGCCGATTGAAATACACAAAAAACGCTCCTAGGAACCCAGAGCAGATCCTGTAGAAAAGGAAATGAGACATGCAAACAAAAAATTAATTCTGAGTATTACCACATGGCTCAGTTATCCCTTTATTTGAATGTACTGTATGTACAAGCCGTGTCAGATCAAAATCAAGAGACCATGTACAGTATATGCCACATCCACTGTGGCTAAAATGGTCTTTCCGGGCTCTTCTAAGCACTAACAAAATAACGAGGGGGGGATCTATTGTACACGTACTGTAGATTTAACTACAGTGGTGCCTCGCATAGCGATCACTCCGTATAGCGATGAAATCACTTTGCGATGGACTTTTTGCCATCGCAAAAGTGATCGCTTTGCAATGGTCCCTATGGGGGAAATTCGCTTTGCAATGATCGCAGGGAAGCGATCATCGTAAAGCCCCCATTTTCGGCAGTTTCAAAATGGCCGCCCGCTGTTTTCAGGCACAGATACCTCGCTTTAGAGGCACCGAAAATGGTGGCACTATGGAGGATCTGCGCTTAAAGATGCATTTTTATCCCATAGGAACGCATTAATCGTTTTTTAATGCATTTCTATGGGCTTTTTATTTTCACTTAACAATGTTATCGCTTAGCAGCAGTTTTTTCTGCACAGATTAACATCGCTAAGCGAGGCACCACTATATAAATGCAATGGCAGGGCCAGGAAATGTTTGAATAACTAAAAGGAAATAATCTATGTATCCAGCAGAGTGAGAGGGAAGAATCCTGAAGTAGCCAATAGTACAGTGGCCCATGAACCACAGCGACATGGGAACTAAACTCCAAATTAGGGCAGAGGGCTCCCTGCCTAGTTGGGCAATGGTCTTTGCTACTTCAGGCTGCCAATGGAGGTCACCATTTTCAGAGTTAGCCATCTTAAAACAACTCCCGCTAAGTTTGTTTGTTTTTAAAGTTTAATATCAGGGATCTGAGCTCACTCCATGCAAGCTAATTTTCTTCTTCCAGTGTGTGTGTTTTTAAAATGCAAGTAGAATTTTCAGAAGGAAGATCCACTTCTTGCACAGTCAAGGAGCTCAACTGATGCTAGCACCTCCAGATTCTACATTATTTCTACCTCATACAAGATGGACACTGCACATCAAGTTGTATGCCTTAATTTATTCATTCTCTTTCCTCCGCAGTAGTAACAGAGAAACAATTTTCACCTTATAGAGAGAGAGAGACTTCTTGACAATGATATATAAGATAATTTTCTTACACAAGCCAAACAACAAAACCATTTGTGCATCTTCTCAAGAAATTTTGTCTTTTGCTCTTGAGGATATTTCTTTTTCTCCAGATCTTCCATATGGTTGACTGCCATGTAGTACTCTACAATGGTAGCTCAGTCTTGGACTCCACTCATTCCTGTTATTATATCGTTCAGCATATCATATAACCAAACTATGATGCTTAATATAGCAACCAAGAGCAGTAAACTATACTTGTTGCTTGACCTTCCTGTAATCCAGGGGAGC